TACGGCTTTTCCAGTCCTGAAAGTGTGTAAAATTGGCATGGGGCAGGCACCATGGGAAAGGGTTTTTAGGGATGTGGGGAGCACAACTGACAACAGGTGCTCCAGCACCTGGAGACACCAAGGACTGAATCTGCAATCTTTACACACACAAGAACGTATTCTGTAACTGAGTGGCAGCCCTTTTTCGCAGCAGCATCAATCATCACCACCACACCGCATTTCTACTGCACCTTTTTTCCTCTTGTGAAGAGCCCACAGGGGCTTACATAGCTCCATTCTTATCCTCACAAAAACCTGTCTGAGGTGGGACTAGAACCCACATCTCCCCAGTCCACCACTCCAACCATCACACTGGCTCTGAAAGCTATTCCCTGTACATTGAGAAGAAGCTTGTCCAAGAGAAAGCTAGCATATACTCCTTTCTGACATATATACTAGGCAGTCTCCCATCCAGGGAGTAAACACTGAAATACCTGCTTAGCTTGAGCAAAGTTGTCTCAGATGCCTTCAGATCATCTCCTGGGATTGTAAAGCTGATCAAAAATATCTCACCTTTTGCCAGAGACAATATGATTCATATCAAGCTTGTCTTTGCCATCTCCTGTTTAGTGCCTTCTTCAGTGTCCATGTGATGTTTTCTTTCCAAGCTAACTCAAAGGCTTTTATCCCATGATGTGTGTGTTCAGTCGCAAAGTCATGCCTGACCCTCTGTGACCCCATGGACCACAGCATAGCAGGTCCTCCTGTCCCCCACTGCCTCCTGGAGTTCCCCCAAATACCATGACATACCTTGGCAAAAGAGGAAGCTGCTAGGGGCCTGCCCCACAGATCTGAGTTCCACAAACCTCCTAGTTCTGCACATGGTTTGGGCAAGGCTAGAGGAGCAAACAGGACTTTCCTCCTTTTGTTCTGATTTTCTTCTGTTCCATTCAAAGCATATTAGGCCATATTCCTTAACGGATCGGGGCGGGGGGGTGTTTCATAGTCTGTTCTTGTAATGGCTGTGTTTAATGACTGGAATTATTCCAAAGTATGAATTTACTCATTCAAGCCTGTTAGCAAATAGTTTAAGAGACAGCGAGCAGCAGAAGTGATTTCCAAAATGCCCCCACACCCTAAAACAACCCACAGGTTGCCACCCCTACAACTCATCTCGCTGGGTTTTGATGACACAGCAACATGGGTAATTAAAGAAAGAGGCACAGGTAAGGCAGAGTAAAGAAACCACAACAGTGTCATTTCCGTCCCTGAATGGGGGAACTCAGTCTGTGAATGGGCACCGGCTAAACTGAGTCTGGGCTGATTGGAAATGAAACCATGGCACTTCCTCCCTTCTCCACACCTTAAACCCACGCACTACACCTCCCCCAACTCTAACAGCGAAGGCTGCAACATTAGGAGCATTAAACTCAAAAGGTGTGAAACGTTAGGAGCATTAAACTCAATAGGAGTGGAAAATGCAAAGGATCTCTTTGCACAAAGCATATTTCTGGAAACAAGGGGTGAAAAGAAATAAATTGTTAAAGTCTCTAGTGGAGAAAAACCCCTCATTGTATCATTGGCCCCACTTGGCTCTAGAATAGCATCACAACTCCCAGCTGTGTTTTAGTGCAGGGCTGGCTAGATTTCAGGCTTGCAGGATTTACTTGTGGTATTTTTTTCCTTGGAACCCACCAGTATCTGGGGTTTAAAAAAAAATAATATCATGTAGAATTATATTAGGAATTTGTCTCATTTTTGAGTATCGGAACAGACTCCCTGTCCTTCTGCCTGAAAAGCCACCCCAAGCTGTCCACCCCAAGCTTTCTTCATTTGAGTAATTTAATTGAAAGTGTGGGTGACTGTCACTTTTGTGGCTGCTATCTTCAATCCATTAGGAGATAGAAGTCCTTACAGAGACTGCAAATCACCCAGAGATTTACCTTCTGCACACTCTTGTGTTGTTTGATGCAATCAAGATCGTGAAGTCACTTCCTTTTGCTCCTTGGGAGGGCAAAGTCTGCTTTCTGCTTTTTGTAGCATCCCAGCAGCACCTTGCAAGCTCTAAGCAGAGAGAAAGCAGCCACACATCCTTGGAAGCTGGGGCACTCCCATTGTTTATTTGGGTAAGGGCATCCCGCTACTCTTCCTTTCCCTTCTTATATAAATGGAGAAACCCTGATTTTTCAAGAAACAAATTTGTGGGGAACTGCAATCATCCTAGCCTGTAGTAGCAAAAAGTCAGGAACACTTGTGGCAACCTTAAGGATCAACCGAGTTACTGTGCAGTGAACTTTTATCCCAGGTATAAAGAACCTGTCCCCCTCCAGACGCTGATGGATTCTGCAGCTTCCAGTGGAAGATAACAATCCCCCTTTGGATTTCCCTTCTGGAGATTATCACAGTATATGTGGCCTTGTAGTGGGTACTCAGAAATATCCTATAGTCCCTGGGATGAAATATCTTATGGTCCCTGCCCAGTTTCCACCACTGGGCCTAGTCAGGTCATTATGACTTTTCTTGACTAAAGGTCAATAAAAAGAGCTAAGGTGCAGTGTGTAGAAGAACATGCAACATCCCTGAAAATACTACTTTTGGAAAACTCTCTTGGAAGTGGTGCTAGCATCCCAGCCTCTTCCTGGCCCTTCCCTAGTGCTCTTTCCCCCCAACCCTGCATTGGACAGTACCATCCATAAGCGCGTCTATGAAAGGCCTCTAGATGTGTGGGAGCAAATGGAAAACAACCTGTCTGCATAGATATACTCGCTTGTGTCATCCACAGAATAAATGCTCAGATGTGAGAAGCAATTCAAGTTAATTGAATAAGGGCTGTAATGAGAATAAACAGGATAGAGACTGTAAAGCACTTAATACTGGTGTAGCATGTGATATAGGAAGGCCTCGGCAATTATAGGTGGCCTATAAATACAAATAAATGTATAGAAAAGTTGCATGCTGATTTTGGAATGCTCTTCCTAGAGACACTCAACCTGCCTACTTTATTGTCCCTTTGGAGCCTGGCAAATAACTTTTTCTGTTTCCCTGCAGATTTTAGAGACTTGCCCATGGCTCCAATGTGCTTTTGCAGTATTTAGAAAACTGGATGCACCATTAGGTGGATGGAGGTAACTGCTTCAGGCAACAAATCTGGCGGGAGCAGCAGTGGCCAGCCCCTCCTGAACTCCTCCTGAACTCCTCAGCCTTCCCTTTCTGCTGGAAGGCAGAGCTGGGAATGCCGCAGAGCAGGTTCAGCATCTCCCGCAGTATCCCTGCCCTGAGGTTCAATAGAAAATACTGTCCCCTGCCAGTGTTGAGAAAACATTCAGTCTAGATCATGTCTGTATTTTCTTTTTACTTTGAATGTTACTGCATCGCTATGCGGCTCAGTAGTCAAAACTTTCTGGGTGGTTTAGAAAGGTTCAAACCTTAAATATACAATCTAAAGCATAATATTTATTTATTTATAATATAAGCACTATTTGCATACCAAAACAATTAAAAAGAATCAACAGTAAAAATCCCACGACCTGTTAAAACATTGCCATATGCTGCCAGCTGCCTGGGTGTAAAGGACAACCTCAACCTGGTATGGCAGGAATGACTAGATCATAGTCTGGCGGACCGCACAGGAGAGGGCATCCCATAACTGAGCAGGAAGAGGCCCTCTGGAAAGGAAGGCCCTCTCTCTTGATGCCCTTCTGTCAATCACGGCTCTTTATCCTTTGCCTCAGGTAGAGGAAGTGTAAGGGAAAGGCCCAGGAGAGTAATCAGCTGTCCATGCCCACTTGCTGAAATAAGGGTATGGGGACCCTGAGAATCTCTGCTCTATCTGTATTATCTGGCTCTGGGCCCTTATGGGCTTCACTGCCTCCTGCTCCACCCTTGAATTTTTCTGCCTGAGGGTTCTCCCCCGCCCCCCATCAACTACTGTCCCCTCCTGTCCATACATCTTTTTACAAAAGGTGGGTTCCTTGGAAGACATGGTCTTTTAAACACACACACACACACACACACACACACACACACACACACGAGAGACACACATGTACATGCGCGTGTATAAATCAGCATATGTGAATTTGTGCTTGTTTTTGTCCAGAGAGCTTAAACCTCGGATCTTTTAGGAACTCAGCACCACCCATGGCCTAAAGCAAGGGAATGCATTGTGCCAGTTCTGGTTTTATGAGTTCAATCCATGGATTGCGTCCAGTTGCATCCAATTTTAATCCAAGATTAATTCCACTAACTTCAGTGAGTCTCCTCGACATAGATCTAATATGCGATCCAGCCCTACGTTTTCTTTGTATTCACATTTTAACAACGCGCTCCTACTCAGAGGTAAGCCCTGATGTGTTCCGTGATGCTTAACGCCAGATACACAGGGTTGCAGCTTAATTGTTCTATTCTTCCTGGGAATAGGATCGAAGGGCACCGTAACTCCTGCTCGAAGAAATACTGGAGTAGTGGCGACGGGCAGAGGCGGTCTGCACGCGCTCCCGGGCACGCGTGCTTCCTTCCTCCAGGCGGGCTCCGGCGCCGCCGCGCCTCGTCCTCGCGAGCCGGTCACAGCGCTCCGGCTCCGAGAGCAAAGGCTCAGCTCCTGCAAGGCGAGCTGGGAGAAGGGAAGCAAACGGCAGGAGCCGCTGGCTGGGGTGTCAAGAGAGAGGCGCGGCGCCGGCGGATCCGGGGAGGCGGAGCGCCGCCGGGCTGCACCTGGCGGCTGCCGGGTCCTGCTTGCCTCAGAAGCGTCGAGCCGACCAGACCTGTCCCGGGAGGGTTAGCTGCACTCTACCGGCGGAGGAAACTTCCTCCGGGTTGCATCCCGAGAAGGCGGGCCCTGCAGGGGTGCGTGCGTGTGTGTTGTGTGTGTGTGTGTGTGCGCGCGCGCTGGTGAGCGCCGAGTCGGCCAGACGCGGTTGGCCGGCGGGAGATGGTGCGCGACGCCTGTCCGCCGCCCAGCAGCAGCCCCCGCAGCGCGGCCGACTGGGCCGCCACCTGCCATAGCGGCGCCCTTGGAGGAGCGGCCGCTGTCACCTCCCGGCGTTAGCGACGCCCCCCCTCGGAACCGAGGTAAGGCTCTCCCGGCTGTCGCCGCCGCCCGTCTCCGGAGAGGAAACCCGGACTCCCCCCTCCCCCCCACCCTGCGGAGAACAAAGGCTCGGGGAGGACCGGGAAGGTGGAGCTGCTGCTCGCGGTTATTCCCAGGGGTTGACAGCGCTCGGGCGGCGGCGAAGGCATCCAGCGCAGTCGCGGGGAAACGCCAGGGCCACGGCGCCCGAAAGCGGAGGCGTCCGCGGTGGGCGTCCGCTGAGTGCTGTGTGCGAGGGAGAGGAATGGGCTAGCTTGGGGGGCGGAGGGGGGGCTCGCCTTCGGGACTAAAAAGCAGCAAACTCCAGGAGGGGCAGCGGGAGGCCTGCGTCTGAGTGACGGCCCGAAGGGCTCCTCAACTCAAAGGGGCTTAGGCTTTTCCGTTCATGTCCTCACGGGAATGCATCGGGGAGGTAGGAGGTGCAGATCGCCCGCTTTGAAACCTTGTTTAAGCATTCAGGTGGCGAGCAAGGCAGAGTGGCTAAATAAATGCGTACACCTGGGGGAGCGGGTAGAATAAGTCTCGTCCAGTGGTTCACACGGCTTGGTTTTCTTTACGTTTACTTGGCACTTAATCGCACTGAATTCTGTGGCACCTACTCCCAGGTACGACAGGCTGGCAGCCCTTGAGGATCATCGTCATTATGGCTAAAACTCTTGTACGAATCTTGGTTACCTGAAGCCTGGCACTCTCTTGCTTTGATCGCTTTGCAATTCGTTTAAGCATCCTTCAGCACGCTTAGTAAATCTTCAAAAGGAATTCAGAATAAGATAAACGTGGAGTGGGAAGTGGCGTGGCTTTCCTCTTTTGGTGTCTAAAGTCTAGTCGGATCACGTTATTAATCTATCTTGCTTGTTTTCGTGATGTGCGAAGGAGCCGGCATCACGCAGGCGGGGACTTCCGCAAGTGTAATTGCCGGTCGAAAGAGAAACGTTGCAAAGCAAAAGCGACTGAGCGCCCGCACGGACTCGATGCAGCCAATCGCGTGCACGCTCGCGCCTTTGCATGCTCTTGCCCTTGGCAAAGGAAACGCCGTGCCTTTTTTCTCGGTGCTGTCTCCACCAGCACCCTTTATGCTTTTTGAAAAAGGGTAAGAGTGCAATCCTGCACATGGCTACGTGGAAATAGATCGCCGGATTTCAGTGAGGCTGCCTGTCAGCTGAGCTAAAGGATTGCAGTCTAAGATGCATGAAGTGCTATAGGTACACGTGCCTCTGCATTCGTTTTTATTCATTATTTATGCCCACTTTTTTTCCTTCCGAAGAATTCAGGGCAGCTTTCATAATTCCCTCTCTCAATCTTATCCTTACAACAACCCTGTAAGGTGGGTTGGGCTGCGAGTCTGTGACAGGTGCAGACAGAACATTCAAACTGGTCAGCCTATTTGGCTTAAAACCTCAAATGGTTCCCCCATGCCTGCTGTAAGACAATAAATTAGAGTCTATCCTGAATGAATTAGAAAGTAGAATAGGAGGCTGAAGATGGGCTCCTTTAATGAATTTTAAAAGTAATGCTTGTTTCAGTATAGTTAGCATAAGCCGGCTTCTGGGAAGACCGAATCCTCTTGCAAAACTTCACCTTCATTTCATCCGTACTTCACTTCCTACTTCACTGAACAGTATTTCTACAAGGTTTGTTTCTTTAAGAACAAAAAAGGCTTGAGCCTGACTCTTCTTGTAATGATCTGATTAATTACATATGTGCATTTTGAGCATGGGTGGAGAGCAAGCAGGCATCCAGAGAGAAAACATGGGTGTTTAAAACAGTGTAAGTGCTCAGCACAAAAGCAAATCCACGCAGGGACACAAAGCTGCTTTGTGATGCCAAATCAGACTGCGGCCCTTTTTCTCTGCCAGTGGCCCTCCAGAGGATGTCGCCTGCCCTAGCTGGAGATGCCAAGGACTGAACTTGTCATGGGCTGCATACAGTGCATGTGCGCGGAGCCCTTTCAGCTTCTTTAGGCTGCTGCTTGCCAGACTGCTGCAAAAATGTAATTTAATTAAAACTGAAAAATCATTTCCTTCAGCCTCCAGCCAGGCAGGTGTGGTTGGAACAGCCACCAGCCATCGAAGGCTGCTAACCAAATACCACAATCTTACAGAAAAACGGAAAAAGAAAATGCACATAACCAAAGTACAACTTTAAATTAAGAGTATTCTTGCAGCTACCATATAAGGTACAGAAGGACTGTTTGCTCAGATGGGTCCAATTTAGGAGTTCTCTTTGGGAGCACTCTTCTAGCACTTGCTGGTGCCTTCATCCGAATATACTTTGTTCTGGCCAGGGAAGGGTTCATGCCAGTCCACAAAGTTGCAAGGAACTTACAGTGCACCTGATTCCCTGGTCTCACTTGTGTGGGGGGGTGGGGGGGAGTAACACTTGATTTTCCCAGAAGTTTATCTAGAACTTCTAGTGGAGGGTTGCAATATTTAAAAAGTATCTGGAAAATCTGCTGTCTTGATATTCCTCAGAGAGTTCACACATAATACAAGCATCCTTGATTGTCATTTTTGGTAGAAAGGCAGGGTATAGATCAAATAGGGTAAATCAAATAACTAAACAACCCTTAAACCTTGGTAGTGTTTAAGGGATGAAATGCAGTGGGCCTTGAGGTTATGGACTTATGCTGGCATGGCCACACTGTGGAAATAGGGAGCTTCCACTCCCATTATAGATTAACCACATTTTAATAATGCTTCTAAACAGTAAACCATGGTTAATCCAAACTATGGCATGTTGAAACACAAGCCAGCTTCTTAAACTGTGAATTGGAATTGGCTTGTTTTAACCATTTGTTGTTGTTGTTTTTAGTCGTGAAGTCATGTCTGACCCATTGCAACCCCATGGACAACATTCCTCCAGGCCTTCCTGTCTTCCACCATCCCCCGGAGTCCACTTAAGTTCGCACCAACTGCTTCACTGACTCCATCCAGCCACCTCATCCTCTGCCGTCCCCTTCTTCTTTTGCCATCTATTGTTCCCAGCATTAGGCTCTTCTCCAGGGAGTCCTTCCTTCTCATTAGGTGGCCAAAGTATTTGAGTTTCATCTTCAGGATCTGGCCTTCTAAAGAGCAGTCAGGGTTGATCTCCTCTAGGACTGACCGGTTTGATCGCCTTGCAGTCCAAGGGACTCGCAGGAGTCTCCTCCAGCACTACAATTCAGAGGCCTCAGTTCTTTGGCCCTAAGCCTTCCTTATGGTCCAGCTTTCACAGCCATACATTGCAACTGGGGAAACCATAGCCTTGACTATACACACTTTTATAGGCAGGGTGATGTCTCTGCTTTTTATTATACTGTCTAGATTTGCCATAGCTTTCCTCCCTAGGTGCAAGCATCTTTTAATTTCTTGGTTGCAGTCCCCGTCTGCGGTGATCTTGGAGCCCAGGAAAATAGAATCTGTCACTACCTCCATTTCTTCCCCATCTATTTGCCAGGAAGTGAGAGGACCGGATGCCATGATCTTAGTTTTCTTAATGTTGAGTTTCAAGCCAACTTTTGCGCTCTCCTCCTTCACCTGCATCAAGAGGCTCTTTAGTTCCTTTTCATTTTCTGCCATTAGAGTGATATCATCTGCATAGCTGAGGTTGTTGCTATTTCTCCCAGCAATCTTAATTCCAACTGGTGATTCATCCAGCCCCACCTTTCCCATGATGTGCTCTGCATATAAGTTAAATAGGCAGAGCGACAGTATACAGCCTTGCCAAGCTCCTTTCTCAATTTTGAACCAATCAGTGGTTCCATGTCCAGTTCTCACTGTTGCTTCTTGACCCGCATATAGGTTTCTCAAGAGACAAATAAGTTGGACTGGTACTCCCATATCTTTAAGAACTTGTCACAATTTGTCATGATCCACACACTCAAAGGCTTTAGCATAGTTGATGAAGCAGAAGTATGTAGATGTTTTCCTGGAACTCCCTAGCTTTCTCCATGATCCACCGTATGTTGGCAATTTGATCTGTAGTTCCTCTCCCTCTTCGAAATCCTGCCTGTACTTCTGGTAGTTCTCGGTCCACATACTGCTGGAGCCTAGCTTGTAGGGTTTTGGGCATAACTTTGCTAGCATGTGAAATGAGTGCAATGGTGCGGTAGTTTGAACATTCTTTGGCATTGCCCTTCTTTGGGATCGGAATGTAAACTGACCTTTTCCAATCCTGTGGCCACTGTCGAGTTTTCCAAGTTTGCTAGCATATTGATTGTAACACTTTTACTGCATCGTCTTTTAAGATTTTGAATAGCTCAGCTGGAATACCGTTTTAACCATAGTCAAGATTAAAAACAGTTTATTTGGTCTGAACAACATAGGAAGTCATGTTTATTCTAAAATGGAGGCATAAACTGCTGAACACCTTGCAGCCATGCTGAGAAAGGAGAGAAAAAGGGAAATGGCAAGCCTGCCTAGGCTTAGGAACAGAGGAAGCTATCTTAGATCATCAGTCCATCTAGCCTACTTATACTCGGCCCTGGCTGGTGCAGCTTTCTAGGGTTTCAGGCCTGCACAAGCCTGTTTAGTTTTATATCAAGATAGAATGTCAGGTCGCCTTTAGTAAGCTGGCGAGGTGTGGGCCTGCAGCTGAATGGGGTTGAACTCAATGGCCTTCTCAGCCCTTTCCCCAATAATCTTGGTGTCCTGCACCAGCAGGGTATTGGACCTGACAAGGCGGCCTTCATGGCCCCTGCTATTCTATGATTCTATTATATGTTTTTCCTGCCCTACCTATAGATTGAACCTTGGACTTTCTACATGCATGATCCACTTTTCTCATGTTGCTGAATTGTGGTTTAGCATTCTTTCTGAACTGGACCAGAAGTAATTTAGTTAAATTGTCAGTTCTTTTGTTGGAGTTTCTGGCAAAGCTTGAAACAAAGGCTCCTATTTCTCAAGTGTGTGTGGTTCACTGAATTCTTGGCCCCTTCATGGAAGAAAACAGTTATAAATTGATTGCAACAAGATTTTTGTATAATTTTGAGAAAGGACTTTAT